GAATGCTTGATATGGGATTTGAACCACAAATTAGAGAAATTTGTGAAGATAATGAAATGCCACCTGTTGGAAAACGTCAAACATTAATGTTTTCTGCTACTTTTCCTAAACAAATTCAAAGACTTGCTGCAGATTTCTTAGATAATTATGTCTTTATTACTGTTGGAAGAGCAGGAAGTACTGTTGAATCAATTCAACAAATTATTTTATGGGTTGAAGAACAAATAAAACAAGAAGCTATTTTAGATGTTTTACGAGAATTTGCTGGAAAAGGTGAGAAAACAGTTATTTTTGTTGAAACAAAGAGAGGTGCTGATATGCTAGAAAATTATTTATACGATCATGGATACAAAGTAGATAGTATTCATGGAGATCGTTCTCAAGCTGATCGTGACTTTTCATTGAAAAGGTTTAAAGAAAATGTTATTCAATTACTTGTTGCAACTGATGTTGCTTCTAGAGGATTAGACATTCCAGACATTGAGGTTGTGATTAATTATGATATGCCAAATGAAATTGAGAGTTATGTCCATCGTGTCGGAAGAACTGGACGGGCTGGTAAAAAAGGAACAGCAATTACTTTCATTAATGATAAAACCCAAAATTTAATACCATCGTTAGTCTCATTATTAGAAGAAGCAAAACAAGAAATCCCAGACTGGCTAGAAGAAAAGGCACAAGAATACAGAAAACCATTTGGCTCAAAAAGAGGTAGAAAAGGTGGGTTTAATAGAAGAGGAGCTGGAAGGTTTGGAGGAAGAGACAGAAGGTATGAAAGAAGAAGAGAAGAAGATTGGGATAATACTAGGTCAATTAGTACACCAATAAAACCTCATTTGTTCGATTAATGTGAATTAATTAAAAGTATTAAAAACATTAAGTTATTTGAAAGAACTGTTAACTCTAATAAATAAGAGGTAATGCATTTTGAATTTCTTCAACAATATTTCCTTTGTTAGAATAATCAATGCTTTAACTGTATTTTTGTTCTAGTCGTTCTTCTGTTGTTAGAGTCCTTTTTATTTTTGAATAAAATGATTTATTTACTAATGTTTTGTTTATAACGTATTATCTAAAAGAAATATGAGAGGTTGAAAGTTTAATTGTTATAAGTTATTATTTTTTTTGTTTATCTCTTTATCAATGAATTCAAAGATAAGCTCTTTTCTTAATTTGGTATTTTTTAATTGCCTACATGTAGCATTTGATTATAAAATATTCTTTAGAATAAATAATTTCATAGTTAACTTCATTTTAGAGAATTATGATTGATAGTGTAACTCAAAAAAATATAAGAAAATATTCAACTAAAAACTTTTATTGACAAGACTTTCTTAAAATAAACATATTGAAGATATTTTATTTGTCATTGTAATGTATTAAATATTAAAACAATAAAACATCACAATAAAAACCATTTTTATTTATTTTATTTCATTTCTTTCTAACATTCTTACTATTCTTCTATTGTTATTCTTTCTTTTGGTTCTTGTTTCCATGTTTTTTCAATAATTTCTTTAATATCTTCTTTAACTTCTTGTATTATTGGTGGTCGTTTACCTGTTGATATTGTATTTGCTATATCCCATGGATATTTATATATTTCTTTAGGAAATGGTTCTTCCCATGTAATGATTTGTAACA